AAAASMAAAMMAAAMMAAAACAAAACAAAACAAAGCAAAACAAARCAAAACACCTGCTAATGGTGAGGTGTGTAGAAATGCTGAGGTCTTACCCGTACAAAGCTGGCTGGAAACCAGCCTTCACTGTCCAGAATCCTCCCCCACCACCACTCCTTGTTGGTCGCGTCCATTACTTCAATGACATCACCAGCCTTGAATCCCAGCTCCTGGTCATCCATCGTGACATGGTCCCAGAGGGCTTCTGCATACACCACACTGCCATCACTGATGAGCTGTGGACAGAGAAGCAAAAGGGTCAGCAGCATTCCCAGAGCCGTGCCGGCACCTGCAGCACAGGCATCATCTCAGCTGTGACAAATGAGCTGCTCACTCATTTGCAAGCAAAGTGCAAAGGAGGTGGTGCTAGTCCAACAACTGCTTTGACTACCCTTGCTCTCAATAGCATTTCTTGCAGGTGACTTTGCCTCAACCAACAAACTAGGCTTGGTGGTACTGTGTTGGTGGAGGCTGCTTTCATGGTTTGGAAAGCCTTGAAAGCCATCCAGGAGCTTCAGGGTTTCTAGGGCCATACTTGAGAACAGAAAGTCTTCTGAAGCTTCAGACCTGGTCTAGGATGAACAAAGCTTTATGTCTTTATGGTGGTTAAACTTAGCACTTAAGCTGCTTAAAATAAATCTCCTGAAGCCTTTAAGTAATTATGCTAAGGGCCACTGGTTATTTACAATACATATCAAAGCGGGCCTATTCTAAGGGAAAAAGTAAGCCTGGCAATTAAAAGAAAACATAGAACATGCCTAGAGACAGTTTGTGGGCTCTTTAACACAGTGCTGACTGCATCCGTAGAGGCAATCCTGACATCCATCCATACAGTGCTGACTGCATCCATAGAAGCAGGCTGCCATTCCCAGCTGCTTCCAACTTAGCCACCTTCTAGTTAGGTAACCCTGAGGAACTGCTGCTGCAGTGAGGTGTGTTATTTGTACCCGGCCCAGCTGGTCACTACCACAGGACTGCCTGAGGTCCCCACGCCCACCACGGCAGAGCAGAGCACAGCGACGTGAAGTCCCTACAGCCACAGCACGGAGGTGTCTGGGCCCAGGRCCACCACATGGAAGCCAGGAGCCCCAGGCCAACCCTGCACTAGCAGCACTGGGGGGTTGACACCACCACCTCCCATGGGGACAAAGCCATGTGGTTCTCACCAGACTTAATGAAAACTGTGTATCTAACTGGTGAAGCCTCAGCTGTTATTTTAATGCACTATCATTAGCATCTTACATTTTCTATACTCAAGAAGCAGCCATACTGTGCACATGACTGGCCAAATACCCACAGGCAAGCAGACAAGCCACTGCCAGAGGATTCTCTGAAGACTGACTAAAAAGATGCMTGAAATACAAGCCACGATTTGTTTAACCAGCACCAAACAACATGTTTGTGGTAAGAAAGGATGAACAAGAGGGATTAAAGCAAGAAATAAAGACAAAAAACTTCATTGTTTTGCTTTGAACTGTCTTGCTGCCTCAAGTACAGCAGTACTTGACACTCTTGCATGGCTGCAGGCTGACAGGCTCAGCCCTGACTTTAATAACCAGAATATTCACTGCCCAATTTTCTGTTAAGTCCCTCAAACTGCACCTTACATTATTTTCTTCAAATCCCRAAATCCCGAACAGCTCAGTTTAACAGCCCCTCTCCCGCAGTAACTCCTGGAGGGCGGCTGTGAGCCACAGCTCCGGTCTGAAAGCGCCGACACTTCCATGGCACCTAAGGGGCTCCGTGACTACTATTAAGTTCCACAAGAAATAACATGTTCCAGTTTTGGAAGGTGAACATCAGCAAACAGAAGATGCAACCCCAGCCAACCAGCTGCTGCTCAAACCCACCCCAAGCTGACAGGTTCTCTTTGCTTATAGCAATGTTTGCTTGTAGGCACTGCTGTCTGCAACCCAGAGTATCAACACCGACTCTCTCCGAAACTGAACTTTGACTACAGCAGCTGCTCTAATACTGTCTTAGCATTTTAATGCACCTACCGTCTGTGCAGCTACAGCCATCCACCTCCTGCGTGGCCAGGGCAGACRTGATGGGAAGGAGCAGGGCTGAAGTACTTGGGAAGACTGGTCAGGCACCCCAGAGATTAACTCCATTACACACAGACAGAGAGATGCCGCTTGCCCAGGCCTAGGGCTCCACGTTTGTTTGTGTGTGAGCTCCCCGTCCTGCTCGTCTGAGGCTGGGCACTTGGATGCAACTACCTCCTCTGTCCTGCTCTCGTTGTGACGGGAGCTCCAGGCAATGTTAACAGAGATAAAAGATCTAGACAACTTACAGAAGGAGGGAGGAAGATTGCTTGAGGATATATTTTTCTTTCAGCTGCTCAGTTCTACTTGAGTAAGCTATCTGAAAGCTATCTGAATAGCTTTCTCTTGAGAATACTAAGCACACTTCAGCGCTAAGGACTAAAAATTAACCCAGGTGCATCACAAGATCCTRGGAATTGAGCAGTTCAGGGAAAAAGAGCAAATAAAATGGATACTTTTCCCCTAAAACAGATATTCAAAGAAGAATAGCTGAACTCAAGTACTTCCTGCTGAATTAAAATGGCTTCTGAGCAGCCTGTGTTCATTAGCTTTGTAGCACTCGCTGTGCCAGCTCAGAGCCTGTGAGCTGCAACCCGACAGCCCGTGAGGCTAGCACGTCCCATGCTGAGACCCTGCAGGGAGCCCCACCAGAGCACCGGCTCCTTCTCCTGACAGTTCTCAGAGGTCCTTCTCCTGTCATTTTTTTTCCAGACCTTCCCTTGGGTCTTCGCTAATGCAAAGGGCAGCAGAGGAGATAAAAGAAAGACGTTACTTCTGATCTCGCCCCAAGGTAGTTTTTCATTAAAAYACAACATGTTTATTTTGACAGAAGATAGGTAGAAGGCAGCTAACCCATGCCTTGAACTGAACCCCATGAGATAGTGCTCAAATTGCCCTGACTGCTCTTTCTTTCTCCCCGAACTTCTCGCGTCCCTGTTTAGTAGTGGGCAGCAGAGATGGGCGTTTCAGCCGCAGAGCCGCAGGCACTCAGCGCGAGCTCGTTCCCCGACAACGGCCTCCGTGGCGGCGCTCCCCTCTGCGAGGAGATGCAGGCCCCTGGGTGAGGCTTTACCACAGGCGCCGGCCTGCCCGCGGACCATGGCACCCCAGGGCTGCTGCCTCGCTGGGCTGCCGGGGCGCAGCTCTGTGCCGGCTCAGGCTCGTTCTGGGCCTGCCAGGGCCCTCGTCTCRGCCACACGGCCACAGGCCGCATGGCTTCTTGCTGCTGCTTCGCCTGCGTGGCCACCATCACCCGCCCTGCCGCGGCACCGCAGCAAGACACACGTGTCCTGCTGGATGGCGGGCTGCCTGCCCCCCTGGGCACGGCAGACCTGCATGCCATGACCCAAACCAACCCATGCCTGCATCATTAGTTGCCCTTTGCCTGTTGTGCCGAYGGCCTATTTTATCACCAGGAATGTTAGGGCAGAGATTAGGGATAGTGGGAGTCTTGCCTGCGTTTACCAAGCATGGCAGATTTCCATACAGTGAAATTGGAAATGGAAATTCCATTTTCATTTTGAGAGGGATTCTCCTTACCAGTATCACTGCAAAGTCAGTTGGCCAAGATCTCAGTCCAGTTACACATGCTTTCCTGGTGTCATATAGTGCTTTTTAAAAATATGAACCTGTAATCAAACTCCTCACAAAAGCGCAGTACATCTGGTATAGTTCCCTCCATTGACCAAACATGTAAAATTTGTCATCAGGTTTATTTGGTAAGAACCATTTCCCACAAAACCATGCTGGCTGGCACTTACCATATTCCTGCCTTCCACTTACGTTATCTGAGTCCTGACTCTTCTTCAGAAGTGGTTTAAACAAATGGGAAGCGGGGGGGTGGCTCTCCCTGTCCCAGGCAAGGAGGAGCTCGGAAGTCAGCCTCCTTATCATGCACTAGAGAGGATTCCTTATAAGAGCAGAAGAGGCAGAGCTCTCCTTCAGCTGTATACAAAGATAAACCATGGGAGTGCATGACATGGGTGTGTATCTTTGGGCCTAGTTAAAATGGCCCTACATTTGCTAAAATTGATTTAAACTATGTTACTTTGTGCTTTCCTGGGCTAGGAGAGCTCTTCCAACAGCGTGGGGATGATAACTTGCAGCTAAGGAGAACCACTCAAGCTTCTGCATCTAGATCTCATCAATGCTCTTCATACACCCACCATCACCCTGCCAGCCAGGACCTGTATGTGACAAAAAGTCTGTTGATTTGGGAACTAAYAACTTTAAGCTTTGGGGTGAGGAAACAACAGGAGCTGAGCAACTTCTCATACTTGATGTTATTTGGAAAAAGAAGTTTATAGCACATCTTACAGTTGACTGTTCAATAACAACAGCAGTTGCTCACAGTGATTACAACAAGCTGTAAAATAGCTTCCATTTTAACCATTTTAATCATTCCAAGTTTCCAAGTTCCCCAGGCACAATGATTCTAAATTCTACATTCTCCTTATTTGTCTTATCAGCTCAAAGCCTTACATTCTGATTCAAGTGAAATGCCTTTTCAAATGACGAGATACAAGGCTGATTGTCATGGTGACAAAATGGCAAGTAAACGGCATGCTGATAAGTGTGATACAACATGGTATCTAAAAAGGCCTGGCTCCAAATGAGCTGCTCTCCACAGGAATGCAGACGGATTTAGGAAGATGTCATCTTGGAGCTCACCGGGGTCAAAAAGTCAGAATGCCAGGAATGACTCAGAAAGAAAGAGGGACGGGGAGAGCTTGAAAAGGCACAAAGAATCCCACGAATCAAAGGTACGGAACAGCTTCCAGGCCAGGACACGCTGCACACACTTGAGAACTGGAGAAGGTCAGATGGAGGGTGACCACTAGATGAGGACTGTATGTTCACGAGCACCTGGGGCTGTTCAGTGGCTCTCACAGCGCAAGGCACCCAGTGAAAGCCCGCACCAAGTCTACATCTGAAACAGAACATTTTTCTGTGGTGTGTAGTTAGGCTGTGCCACAGGATGCCACGGAGTCAAACATGTAGATGCGTTCAGAAACAGACTGGACAACTGTATGTCCTTGAAGGCCATTTAAACACACTGCATCTGGATACAACCATCATGCATCTTAGACACTAACTGCTGTAAAGACACACAAGGAGACAAACCAAGCTACCTTTACAACCTTTCCTAAGAATTTACCCCAAGTCACAGCTAGACGAGGTATTTGCTG